TTAAACTGATATCACTGATATAACAGTCACAATTTTGTATTATGTGTTACACACTTGACACTTACACACTATACGTCTATAGTTCTATACAGTGTAATATTTAATATTGTGTTGCCACTTGTGAGTTGTGAGACGTTTTTACTTTTACTGTGAATTGTGATGTGTAACTGAATTTTCAAGTTTAATACCTACATTTATTATTTGTAATTTATTTTGTTTTAAAATATGGATCGCTACTTAATTTTAAAAAAGACCAACGAAATGGTGAGTATTTTTTTTTATATTAGGGTACTTAGTGTCTTAGTTCATGTAAATGCATGGAAATATTAATTAAACCTTGTATTTAATGTTTGTAAAGTATAAACAATACTCAAAATATTCATATAGTTTATAATATTCTAGAGTTCTGAACCAGTAAATACAGACATAAGTCAACCTAGTAATAGAAGTAACAAATAAAAATGAAATGCTACCWTCTAATGCATTGGATGCCATCAGGTGTTGTGACCCAATCATATTCCCTAATATATTTATGYTATTAAAAATTTTGTGCTGTCTCCCTGTTTCTACTTCAACAACAGAAAGGTCTTTTTCTGGCTTAAAAAGAATAAAAACCTACCTCAGAAACAGTATGAAAGAGGTATGTATTATGTATAAACAATAAATTCTAATTAACCTGATTATTTCGATTTCATTTTATTGAATTGTTTGTCAAACAGGATCGTCTCAATGGTTTAGTGTTACTGAGTTATTATAGGAATGTTGTTATCACGCCAGATGAAGTATTAAATGAAATGGCAAAGAAGCCGAGAAAAATTGACTTAGTGTTATAATGAAAATATAATGTTTTATTCTCACTATTTTGATGTTTTACTCAATGTAATTTCCTATAGTAATATCCCCTATAAAATTTCTTTCTATGGAACTGAACCCTCCCCATAGAAAATTCTTAGCTATGGCCCTGCAATGGAGTGTACGATATTTTTAGTAAATTCATCTYTAGCCAACACAAACTGGAGGTGGGTTACCCTGGCACCCCAGTGTTCGAATTTTTTATTATTTTTTTTACCATTAATTGTACTATAATTTCTACCGATTTGTACCTAAGTATTTCCCCCGGGAAAATCGATTTTCCGCCGGAGCTCCAAACGTTACACCAGCACCCCCGTTGCTAATTTGACTAATAAAAATGTTTGCTTACTTATACAGCTGAATTTGCGCCTTTTATCTGTCGGGTT